GGGGAGAGATAAAAACATCGATCAGGCTGCCTCCCGTAACCCCCTCACTGGGGATAGAGCCAGAAACCTGGGCAAGTGCCCTGACAGGGAATCCAACTGGTGACCTCCTGGTGCACAGGACAACTCTCAACCAACTTAGCCACACGGGCTGGGCTCTTCCTTTTTCTCAGGTGCCAGGGGATAGGTGTGCCGAAGAGAAGATGCATGTTCTAGATTGCAATGAAATGGCACTTTATACGTCTCTCTCCATCCTGCCTGCCCCCTGCATGCCATGCACCCGGGTGGGCCCTGATGAGGTAGGTGGACAGACTGTGGCTGTATTACTAGGCACTGCCCTTTCCTGTAAAGGTCGCCCCCCCCCCCCAAATTCCCAGAACCACTGAGGAGAGACATGAATCAAGTCTGACACAGGATGGTTGTGTGTGTGTTTCCCCGTTTGCCTCCTTCCGTTTTTACATGGTGTTCCTTGTGTGCCCCTGATCCAGGGCAGGAAAGCAAAGCAACCCAGGTCAGCTGGTCAGCGGCACTTCGTTAAGGGGGAATCCTGGATGGGGAGGAGGGAGGGCCTCGGAGAAAAGGAGAGAGAGAGAGACACCTTTGCAGGCCAGGGTGAGGTGAGAATGACTTTCTGGCCAGCATTGGGGGCTTGAGATCAGGATGGTTAGACAAAATTTAAAAAATGCTATTTCTCGCACTCCTGTGTTTGCAATTTAAAAAAAGTTATTGTGGTCAGGAACACAAAACATAAAATATACCATCTTAAACCATTTTTAAGAGTACGGTACATTAGTGTTAACATATGTCCAATGCTGTGCAACAGGTCTCTAGAAGTTTTCATCTTGCAAAATTAGAAACTCTTTATTCATGAAAAACCTCCCTCTTCCCTCTCCCCCAGCCCTCCAGAAACCATCATCCTACCTTGGGTTTCTAAGACTTTGCCTATTTTAGGTATTTCAGATAAGTGGAATCTTGCAGTATTTGTCCTTTCGTGACTGGCTTATTTCACTTAGTACAAAGTACTCAAGGTTCATTCATGTTGTTGAAGTGATAATTTCCATCTTTTTTAAGGCTGAATAAGTATTCCACTGTATGTATACACCACACATTCTTCATCCATTCATCCCATTTGGTGATGAATGCTGACTTGCTTCCACCTCTTGGCTATTGTGAATAGTGCTGTAAACACGGGGAGCAGGTATCTCTTCAAGATCCTGTTTTTAACTCTTTTGTTGGATCAATACCCACAAGTGGGATTGCTGGATCATATGGCAATTCTATTTTTAATGTTTTGAGGCACATCCATACTCTTTTCTATAGCAGCTGCACCATTCTGCATTCCCACAAACAGTGAACAAGGGTTTCAATTTCTCTACTTCCTCGCCAGCATCTGTTATTTTGTTTGTTTCTTTTGGAAAGTGGCCATCCTAATGGATGTGAGGCAATATCTCATTGTGGTTTTAAGTTGTATTTCCCTAATAATTAGTGATAGTAACCATTTTTTCATATACCTGTTGGCCATTTATATATCTTCTTTGGAGAAATGTCTATTCAAGTCTTTTGCCCATTTTTTAATTGGATTTTTTGTTTTGTTGTTGCTGAGCATGTAGGAGTTCTTTATATATTCTGGACATTAATATTAACCCTTAATCAAGTATATGGTTTGCAAATATTTTCTCTTATTCTGTAGGTTACATTTTCATTCTGTTGTTTCCTTTGCTGTGCAGAAGTTCTATTTTTTATTTTTTAAATCCCCACCCAAGGACATGCTTAGAGAGAGGGAGGGAGAGAAAGAGAGATATGTTATGTGCCCCAATCGAGGATTGAACTGGCACAGGACTGGGCACAGGACAACACTCAACCAACTAAGCCATACTGGCGAGGGCAAGGCCAAGGTCTTTTTATCCCAGGATGTGCCCACAGCTTCCCTCAGCCTTCAGGTCAGGTCCTTCTCCTGGGCTCTGGAGGCACCTTTATCTGACCCTCTTTCCAGAACTCTGGGAGGAGAGTTGGGGTTGAGTGGTTCAAATCCTCCAGACCTTTAGCCTGGAGCTCCCTGAGGTTGCCCAGGCCCCAGGGCCATTGTGGGGGTGCAACTGAGTGGAGAAGTCAGGGGAGGTCCCTGGATTTGAGCTTCTAGGACCAGATCATTAAAACATCTCTCCCAAGTGCAAATTAAAACCACAGTCAGATATCATCTGTCAGAATGGCTATCATCAATAAATCAATAAACAATTGTTGGTGAGGACATGGAGAAAAGGGAACCCTCATGCATTTTTCGTGGGATTGTAAACTGATGCAGCCACTATGGAAAACAGTATGGAAGTTCCTAAAAAAATTAAAAATAGAAATACCATATGACCCAGCAATTCCATTTATCTGAAAAAACCCAAACCACTAATTTGAAAAGATAAGCGCATCCCCAAGTTCACTGCAACATTTACAATAGCCAAGATATGGAAGCAAACCAAATGTGGATCTATAGATAAATGGATAAAGAAGATATGGTACATACATACAATGGAATATTACTCAGTCATAGAAAAGGATGAAATCTTACCATTTGTGACAACATGGATGGATCTAGAGGGTATTACACCAAGTGAAATAAGTCAGACAGAGAAAGACAAATATCGTTTGATTTCACTTATATGGGAAATTTAAAAAACAAACAAAACAGAAACAACCTCATAGATACAGAGAACAAACTGATGGTTGCCAAATGGGAGGAAGGTTGGGGGACTGGGTGAAAAAGGTGAAGGAATTAAGAAGTACAAATTGGCAGTTACAAAACAGTCATGGGGACGTAAAGCACGGCACAGGGAATATCGACAATAATATTGTAATAACTATGTATAGTGCCACATTGGTACTAGACTTATTGGGGTGATCACTTCATTAGTCACATAAGTGGCTAATCATTATGCTGTACCCATGAAGCTAATATACTGTATGTCAACTGTAATTAGAAAAAAAATTAAAAAAATTTTCCCCCCAGATAATTTTGTTTTACAAGTATCAGACAACCTGGGGGCTGGAGTGATCTCCTTGCTCATTTCCAGCCTGGCCTAACAAAGCCCTCTGGTCAGAGGACGGAGTCTGGTCCTGTGCACACCTCTGGGTGGGCCCAGGGAACATGGTGTTCTTGGGGGGGCACTGACTCCCCAAGAGGCTGGCCAGCTAGTAGGCTGCTTGGGCTGGGCCAGCACTGTGAGCCATGTTGTCTTCTGGGAATTAAAACCACAGCCCCTTGCTCAGCAAATACAGCTAATTCCAAAGGGTTTTATGTCCCATCCTTATGTCCTACAGGATCATCCTCTATCACCCAATATACTGCAAGGAGCCTGATGGTCCTGAGCCCCAACGTTTGAGGGAAAGTCCCAAAGCAGTTTGGAAAAGCAATGCCACAGGCTGTTGCGTTGTAGAGCAAATATTTATTTAGAACCAGGATGGTTGTCCAGGCTGGTGTCAGATGCCTACTGCCCAAATGA